TGGGCTTTTTTCTTCTCAAAAAGCACTGAGATGATGATCCTCTTCTTGTTGCCTGTTGCCCAGTATGTTCAAATTCTGGGTGAAAATATACAATGGAAAACCATTTGAACAAGTAATTTTCAGTGATGTTAGTGTATGGTATCAATGGAGTTCTGACTTAGGAACAAGGAAAGGAAATTAGAAAGGAAACTGACAGACTAGGGGAAATTAATGTATTTTAGAGTCTTTCAAGAAATGTAGTGTTTTGAGAGCCAGTGATTGCACTATAGTAAGTGTGCCCTTCCCACTAGTGTGCCTAAGCCCCCTCTAGATCTGAAGTAAATATCTTGTTTCCTTTTTGATTTTTCTCTCTTATTCTCTTTCAGCTAGAGCAAGTAAGGACCACAGAACACCTGTGGCTAGTTCATCAATAGCAAGTATGTACATGTGGCATAAATCTAGCTCAGTGTGATTCTTGTGGAAATAATTGCTTGAATATTTTTAATAGTGGAAACAGTGACATATGCAAATTTACATTCAATGTTCATTTTGCTTTCTACTTTTCATTTGTGTAACAACTATGAATTGCAATTACTATGTCAACTTCTTGAAAGGAAAATGTGAAGGAAAAGCATACTTGTTGCCGGAGCAGATGCCATCCTTTTATGCACAAGAAAAGGACACAGTGGTGTGCTGTGTTTTGGAAAGTATGTGATAGGATGGGATGTGCTCCTTGGAACATATACCTCAGGATGGCAGCACATCCTGGTGTGCAGACTCTGTGCTGCAATTTGAGCCATGTTGGCATGATCCTGTATTTTCTTCAGCATTTGAGGACCTTTGTCACAACACTGAGGACAGAGGGTTTGGCCTCATTGGGAAAATCACAGGAAGAAGCTTTAGCATCCCTAACAGTTTTGTTTTCCTCCTGTTGAGATACTGATGACATTTGCTATAAGCAAAGTTCAGCGAATGGCCAGTACCACCATGACAGTGAGAAATAGAGGAAAGAATGGAAAGATTTAACATTTTCAGTGGGATAGAAGAAATTAAAATCCTTTAACCTCCTTTCATGATGGTTTATTATTGCTTTTTTATTTTGTTGTATGGTTTTATTTGGAAACCACTTCAAATTAAACTGCTGTGTGAGAGTTAGTTCATACTGGCAGTTGCAGTTTTTCCTAAGAAAATACTTGACAATACTTGCCCAAAATGGACACAATATCTGGTATTAATCTTCTCCTGAACTGCATTTAAGTCATGCAGTTCCTGGATGGCCTGAGATAGCGGCTTCTATCAAAGATTAATTACTACATGAAAAGCTTAAGCTATTCTGACTGTTATCTGTATGTATGTAATTTGTTTAGGGCTGTCAAAAGATAAGGATACATATGGCTACAGAGATGCTGCTTTGAAGAGGATGAACTAAAATGTAAGTATAAATTATAAAGGGAAAAATAGCACCAAATAGCACACAGCAGAAATCACCCATGGTCATCAGAGCCTTGATTCATAGCTGGTTTATTCAACAGACAGCCTCCCATTCTCAGTCTCACATCTCACTATCATAACTCATTGTGTACTAGCAGTTATATCAAATAATTAATCTGGTTTTTAAAAATAAAAAGAAAAGCCATTCAAAGGAAAATATGATGTGATATAACAACTCGAATTAGTCTTTTATCTAGTTCACACTTTTGCTACAGAAACAGTTGTGCTAGCACAGCTAAAGGAATGGTGATGACACTAGGGATGGAGACTTTAACTCACCACAGCCACTTGCTGACTTCTACAGTACTTAAATTAATTACATCCTGAATCTCACTCTGCTACATTTTACTGTAGTAAACATAAGCAAAGGTAAACCTGCTGGTCCCACAGGTATAGATCTCCAAGTCAAAGAATTAGGGCCTGGGTATATGCTGCTAGGGATATCAACAGAAAGAGCACTGAATGTATTTGAAAGGTTTTGAAAGATGATTTTAAAAGAATGGGGGATCTAAGCCACATTTCACTGTATTTGCTAAAGAGCACTTCCCACCAATGTATTTGAACTACTACTTTATTTCCTCCCATGCTAATTTTCAATTCAACCTTTTAATTAATTTCATTTTAGATCTATAATTTTGACAATGAAGGCTTTTTTTTTATATCTCCAAACTCTAAGAGTCCCAAAGCCATAAAATGTTCTGTGATTTCATAATTTTGTATTTTGACAAATTTTCCATATAATTCTTCCTTTTACAGATACTGAGAAGACCTAGAAAAAGCAGGGGAAGCCTTCTTGCTCTGTGGTGAAGTTCTGACAGCTCAGATGTTCTGTGTTCTGTCTAATAATGGGGATATTATTTTTTTGTTTTTATTCTGTGATGGCAATCTTCTTCCATATTGTTGTAATTCAGGAAAAACTGCAATGAAGTTAATACAATTATTATAGCATAAAAGGTCCTTGGACTCAGGTTTCATACAGAAGCTGAGTATACAGTCCTATTGTATACAGGACTAGGTATGGAGGTATTTATTTAAATATCCAGGTTTCTGCTTTCTTAAGTTTATGCACTTTCATTAAATATATCTTTAAGGTAAAGAAAGCACTTTAGGTCTGTGACCATCATGAATTTCTCAGCTAGTTCTTGAATAGGCCATCTTCTAGGCTTTTGCTTTGTTTTGTTTTATTTCCCAACTGAGCTCTCAGTTCCCTGCGGAGATTTTGTTTTCCAGCTTGTGAAGAATTTTTTCAATACTTTGATCCTCATAAAAGATAAGGGTCCAACAAGATGAGATGTCATATAGACAGGGCATTTTCTGTCCTTACTTTAGATCTTAAAATACCAGATACTCACAGCTAAGCCTGAAATAGATGCTGTAACCTTCTTGGCAACAGCTTTTTGGAAATTATTAGGTAATACTGAGGTTCTTGATTTCTGTCTCTGAAAAGCGTTTTGGGGATTTAATTGCCTTGTGATATAGCTGGCACTGCTTGGTTACTGCTCATTACTCTTCTAATTTACAACTAGGGGATAATGCAACTCTTCAGACATTCAGGAAGAACCACTCTTGATTTGGACTTTTTGTTCATCTCAGGGATAGAAGAAAGAGAATCCTCTCACTTCTAGGACATCAAATACATGGTCATGTGATCACTTAAGAAATGCTGAGGGATAATGTTCCTGGAACCCATTTCTTAAGCTATTGCTTTGTTACATTTTGCTAGGTGCATAGATTTTTTTGGGTCATATGCAGATTAAAATTATTTATTATAATGCTATCCACAATTATATTTTTTTAATAAAATGTTTTGGTTTTGTTGTGGTTTTTTCCTGCTCTCTTTCACTTGTCAATATAAGTAGCATTAGCTTTACTTGTGCTTTTTCTGGGAAAAACAGGTATCTAAGATTTGAGTGTAGAATAGTGTCTACACCCATGTCATCCCCCTAATGGCTCCCACAAAGAAGAGACAGTGGAGATCTGAATTTTCATTGGGCTCAGGCTTTATTTTTCAGTTTAAAATAAATTAGTCTGATGTGCAGCCCTAAGGATATGAACACAGCCCTTGGCCCAAGGCTTCACTGCTGGCAGAATTCCATCTAGCTAAAGTAGTGTTTAATGTATCTCAGTGAGCTGTCCTATATAGCAGGATAGAGAAATGCATCTCATAGCCATAATGGAGCTGGTAGACCCAAGTCAAGTTAAATGACTATAAAGTTTTTTCCCTAATTCATTGCAGAGCTTCTATATTCTGGCACTGATTCTTGCCATTTCATCCTTCAAGGATGCTATGAGAACTTGAACATTCCCTCCTGCTTCCCAGCATGCTTTTTGAGGCCACATTCCAGGTGTCACTGAAGATGATGGCAAATTTTTAGTTATTCCCAGAGTGTAAGTATGGCTTTTGAAATGTTAAGGGTCATTCGTAGAAAAAGCACTGTCTCTCCTTAACAAACAAATGTAGTTTCATATCACATAGATAATTCCTCTTCCAGACAACCTCTTCAATTTCTGCTTCCTCTCTGAGACTGCACCAGCTGTTTGCACATTAAAGTAAAAGTGAAGAGTCTACTCCTTTTAGTAATTTTCAGCCTTTGCTAGGCAGTGCTATTAGTGCATGCTTAGTGTCATGGAACTGAAGTTGATGTCTTTATCAAACTTCACTGGACAGCAGGAACTGTTACATTTGTCTTTTCCCAGCAGGAGAAAAGGTAAGTTACCTTTAACAATGCCGTATATCAGATGAGTAAGATAATTAATTGAGGGGATATAAATATGTTTTTAAATTCTGTACCTGAACCCTACTGTCCAAAATGACAGTGCTTTAATTCTTGAGTAGTTGATAGGAAGCTTGAAGTTTTGCTACTTTATTAGGTATGTAGGATATGGGGTGGACAACAGATGATGTGAAAAGAGCTGTTCTCTCTGAATAAGCTCTACTTTCTGTTTTTCTAACATCCAAATCAGAACTTGCCTAATCTAATTTTAGTAATTTTACAAATTAGCCTCTTAGGATAAGCTAAGTCTCTTGGCTCCAATTCTATAAATAAAGGGAGGCAGGCTCACATGCTCATCTTTCAATGCCATTGTTTCAGCACAATTACTTTCCATTCATGACAGAGGGAGAATGCACACCTAACTGAAAATGCAAGAGATACAGGTTATGAGAATCAGGTGAGAGGAAATACTTCCTGATCCTATCATGAAAAATGTAATTAAAAACCATATTCGTAATAATCTTTTTTTTCCTTCAGTTAAAAATTTTTGCATGCTACTTCAGAATTTTTTTGATATCTGGAAAAATGAAAACCAGCAGGAAGCTAGAGGAGACTTAGCTTCAGTAAGCTGCTGCATTTTGCTTCCTAACGGCCAAGTATTGTTAGGTACCCAGAAGCGCTCAGAAAAGCCTGGTTTATTGTGCACAGTCTAAATTGGCTTGTGAATTCTCGACTCATTCATTTGACAAATGTAATTATGAACCTGTCTGGTGCCCATTTTCTGATGTGGCATTTAATTTTGTAGTATGTGAATACTACTACTGATAACATTTACATTAAAGAATAAGTAACAAGAAGAAACATAGAATCATTGCTATTGACCTGCAGGGCTTTTCACAGAGCAATATGCAGGATGTGCATCCCTTTTCCATTTTGGCCAAAAAAGTAACTTTAGTATCCTTGAATGTCATGTACTGATGGTGCATCATCCAAGAATGGACTAACCAACAAGATGGCAGAGATGTTGACAGTGGAGCTTCTGCTTTTGCAGACGTTAGCAGTGGGGCTTCTTGTTTTGCAGCACTTTCTCCTTGATTCCCTGTCTCCTTCTCCATATTTCTCTGGTCATGCGACCTTGTCCCAACCAAGTCCCTGCCAGGTACTGCTGGGTTCATGAGATGTCCAAGGCAAACCACTGACCCTTGGTCAATTGCACTGAGTTTTCTGTGACAGGAACACATGAAGAAAACCTATTGTAGTGAGAGCTGGCTCAGAACAAGTAGAGGATGGTGATGCTGACAGTGAAGTAACTTTGGGGTACTTTTTCAGTCAGGTGGCAAGAGAACAAGGAACACTTCTGTTTTCCTTCCAGAAGAAGTCTCAATACCTGCAGGAAAACTAGACACCTAGATGCAGGGGAGGTGGAGATTCCTCAACAAACTAGTGAGGAAACTGTGGATAAGTAGGCAAGCAAAGTGCTGATCAGAAGGGAAAGAACATAGCAATCAACAAAACAAGGCTTCTCTGAGGACTTAATGCAGGTAGAGAGTCTCCCTAGTTGGGACGCTGTTATTCTGCAAAAGCATTAGCTGCGGATCACCATGACTCCAGCTGCTACATCCATCTGCTATAATATCTCTAGCAGAGGGTTATCTCCTGCCTTTCCCACATCAAAATGCCTATAGGCTCTGCACAATTTCCATATTGTTAACATTTTTGTGCCTTTTTCTTTATTTTACCACTAATAAATGGTTTTAAAATGTTATTAATTTCAAGTGGTTGCATAAATACTTCTCCCTAAATTGGCTATTTGTCTTAACATGGAAGGCCACAAAGCAAACAAGGCCTTTGAGAGTTGGCGGAGTGTGTAGATGGGGTTAAGAGGAACAGTAGGTATAAGCATCAGCCAGGAAGAAGTGCCTTAGCAAGAAAGAATTTCCTCACACTCACACACTTAAAAAGCACAGATCTCAGTTTGCCACCTTCTTTTTCCCTTTACTTTTACTAAAAGTTTAGGACATGAGGCAAACTTGATTTTAATTGTAAATCATAGATTAAGCTCAACTCTGGCCTTGTGGACTTTTCTCTCTCCTTCCAGTGTCCAATCATCCAAGTCATTGCCTTCTGACAGCTGCCAAATTGGTCATTGGAGTTTTTCTGGAAAAAAAATCAGGCTACCCAGGAATTACTTTGTGATAGGGCTACACAGGATAAGTTTATTGAG